GACTCCATACCTGCCCTCTCAAGCAATATTCATATATTGTATTTGGTTCATAACACTTGAAATTCAGCCAGTTATTTTATCCAAGAAAGTTCATTTTACGAACTGTATCACCTTGATACCAGAGTCCAAATCTGATTGTAATGGATTTAAACTACTCTTTTTTTATTTACTCTTTGCATGCAATCAAAATCTATTAAGATACAGAAAAATATTTTCTAGTAGCAAACTGAAAAATAACATTGTTGTTGCGAAAAATGAACATAACACCAAGAGAGAGTGGGTGTGGGTGTGAATTATGAGAATACAGGCTCTGATGGCCACATTCTGCACTCACACCCTCAAGCTTGCGCCATCCTTGCAATTGATTACGTGTTCATGTGAAAAAAAATTGCTCAGAAAAAGTTATATCTCATGTGCACACAAAATTTTGAACGTCTTATGTATATTGGTCGTTTTTCGTTAGTAATGATGTTTTAATCACTTTTATGCATAAACTTCACGAAATAGAGCAGAAAAATGCATTCAAAAAACGTAAAAAAAAATGGAAATATCGAGAAATTCGACGGGCATACGATTTTTTATGCTTTTTTTTTAGATAAATGGAAAAATCTACAAGTTACTCTACTTGGGTAATAAGGGTTTCCTGTTTATGAAAATTCTCGATATTTGGATGAAAAAATTTGCTTTGCAATATCTTTAATTACAGTTTCAACTTCATGTAAAATATAGTTTCTCTAATTTTTCACTCCTTTCAGCTTTTAGACGAAAAACATCTCGAGATATTCTTTATGAGTAATCTTTTCCAACTATATATGCATATATATATATTTCAAACACACAAATTATACAGAACATCTTAGAGAGTGGGTGTGGGTGTGAGTATCTGATACTCCCATACTCAACCATAATACCCACCAGAGATGAGCGAGCCGCGGTGTAAAACCGCCCCGTCCCGCCCCGCCCCGCCCCGCTGGCGGGGCGGTGCTAAAACTTGACGGGGCGGGGCGGTGACGGTGCATGACGAAATTTCGCGGTTTCCCCGCCTTTGTATAACCTTGATTTTTTAAATATACTCCGACCTTTAGAAACATCTTTTTAAAATTTTAAAATCTTTTTACAAAACTAATCAATAAAAAAAGACTTGTTAGCGCAGCTCCAGAGGAGCTAAAATGTGGAACTCACATATATTTTTTTTAAATTTTTTGTCCTGATGCCTTATTTTTAAATTGTAAAATACCTTTTTTCCGAATACGTATGAAATCATTGATATATTATATAAAAACTAGAGCCTTTTATGCGCTGCTGAGGTCTGTAATGGTGGGGGTCAGGGTTACCAGATCGAAAATTAAAAAATCAGAAAAATTTTTCTAAAAATTGGGAAAGTCGGAATTTTTGTTCTCGAAATCGGAAGAAAATCAGAAAGTATTTTTTCCATGTTTAAATAACTAGTCTATATATTTTCGATAGCTTCAATATCCTTTATCTTGCTTCTGTTCATCTTTTCGAAGCAATATCAGAAATGATATTTCATAAAGAATTAAAGAAAATATCGATTACACAATTTACTCATGATTGAGAAATCTACATAAGTAATTTGAACAGGATCACATTATTTTTATCAAAAATGCTATAACCAACTTGACGAAACAATAGAATCAGTATTGTAAATTCATACACACACATGCATTTCACAAAACTTATGCAAAACAAAACTAAGACTTATTCTGTATAATGTTCGTTTTTGTTCATACTTTTTTATTAGCTCGAATACTCTTCAAAATATCAGGTTGAGGTAACAGATATTCATAAAAATGTCCACAAGTATAAACAGAACTCATTCCGATTTTCAATTCTGCAACAGCTAAATTAGTACCCATACGATTATGATTAGTTTTATGATATCTGTGATGAAACAAAAAAAGCTCAGAAACGAAAATATTCTTAATTAACACTATAGTAAACGAACAGAGAAAGTTACTTCATCGTGATAGAAAGCTGGATCTTAATTGTCTGTAAAACATCATAGTTTTATTGGAGGATATGCTTTCAAATCACTGCAGTGTGGTTTGTTGAGTTCATGACGCTTCACTACCCGATAACTATGGTGAAATAGATCGCTATATATGTGTGGTGTCGTGTCATGGTTAAACTATTCTAGAATGTCCTAAGAACTTGAATTCCCAAATAAGACTTCGAAAACCGGAGAAAAATCAGGAAATCTGAAGGCGATCGGAACAATATGTTAAAATCGGAAAAATCGGAAGGTCGGAAAGTCGTTGGAGAAACTTTTAAAAAATCGCAATTTTTCCTGCCGTATCGAAAGATCTGGCAACCCTGAGTGGAGTGTCTGTAATGGAGTGGGGGAAGGGAGAGAGCCGCCAAACCTCGAACTTAAAACTTACAATCACTATTTTATTCGAAAATATACGTGAGTTCCACAAAATGAGTGACTGTATTATAATTGCCTTTCATTTTCATATATTTATTTTTTTCTATTTCGGAACGATGTTTATGCATTTAAAATATGCCTCTTCATCTCATGAAATGAAATAGCCATTATGAAAATTTAATGAAAAATTTGTCAATAAATAGTTTTTTAAAACATATTTTTGACGGGGCGGGGCGGGGCGGTGGCGGTTTCAATGCTAAACAGGCGGGGCGGTGACGGTGCGGAACTTTATCGGCGGTGCGGGACGGGGCGGTGACGGTGCGACTTTTTTGCTGACTCGCTCATCTCTGATACCCACAACCTTATCATAAACAGGATAAATGAAAGAATATCCGCTGGAAGTGTAATTAAAGCCTAGAAAATAAAGAGTGTTTGTATTTTTAGTAACAACAGTTAGTTCGTAGTTCTCATTTTTAATTTCGAAAGGAATTGTGATCATAGCCTTCAGTACTACATAAGCTGTTATCCACATTATTCTAAAGTGTAACATTACCGTTAATCAAATAGAATCAGGATTTGTATTTTGTGAATTAGGAATAGATATAGAAAAAACTCATCGATATATTTGAATTGGCTTACAAATCTAAATTGCATCAATAGCTGTTATAAATGATTTTCTAATATGATTAATTATTCTTGATCTGGCCAACGTAGAATGGATGTGACTGTGTCTATAGCAGTGATTTATTGCTTCATCGTCAATAGCCGAACTCAAACATTTCCATTCCAATCAGTTAACATTAAACAAAGAATGAACAAGTAAGAAGAATTGGGATATGGTAGTTATAGAAAAAGAAGGAAACATAAAATTGAAAAATTTCCCACATCCGATACGTTCTTTTTTTGTTGTCTTACTGGGTTTTCGATCTGTTTTATTTTGATCCTTTCATATTCTAATAAACAAAGATTATCTATCGGATCAATTTTCATGGATGCATATATGTATCATAGACATCGTATACACATTGAATTTTAAAGAAAAAAAGATAAGAGCGATCATTTACACATATTTCAAACTAAATATCAAAGATAAATGTTTAATTAAAACGATAGAATTTACTTCCTTAGTTTAATCGTCATGTACACCAAGTGATAGCTTTGATCAAAGCAAACTATTATATAAGGAGCCGATTTTGTCAGTTTAGATAGGATTATAAGTTACTTCTGGTTGTTATTTGGACAAATATTGTATCCTTGGTAAGTAGTATAAGAGTTTTCTCTTTTTTATGGTTTTCAAAATGCCCGATGTTCAGTGGAAATAGTTGCTGTTAATATCTATCATTTCAGAATAACTATAATCTCTATTTCTTATGCATCCAAAATAATATTAACAGATAGTATAAAACAACATTGCTTTAGTTTAATTTTTTGTACTTTTCTACAGATGCAATAACGCAAACTAGAGGATGAAAACATTATCACTTTCAAATGCTTTGGTGAACACTATAGTAGAATAATTGATGACAAGAGAGTTTCTGCTTTATTTAAAGTTCTACTAAATTATACATATTGATATAGTCGTCTAGTGTCTAATGGAACTAATACTATACATAAAGAATGACGTACTTTGATTGAATGAATACATAGAGAGACAATTTTACTACCATTATTCTTGTATATTTGGTATAACGATATTTATATTTCTCTTTTATCTCTATATTTTATTGTAGATCAAAAAATTCTATATATTCGATTTGGAATATGAATTCGATTAATATTAGTATTATTCTAATTTTCCTGTTGGTGTCAACTCAATCCTATATATTACCACGATCTGTTACAGAAAGTGAAAATAATAATGATTGTATTGGTATAGACTGTTCATCACCTGAATTCAATGGACAATTGCCGGCGATTGAATCAACAACCATGAGTAATACAAAAGACGAATATCTATGTGAATGTTCTTCAGAGTCAAGTGATACTTCTCGCGATAAAGCAGATTATTCTTCCGAGGAGTGTACAAACATATGTACTACCGCTCTGGAGATGAATCAATTTCAAGGTAAATACAAGATCACGTACTTTAGCATGTATACAAAAAGCTCTTCATAAATGATACAACAATCATATTCACATTCTATTCATATATCTATAAGTACGATGCAATAAGCGTCTCAAAGTTTTTCTTTTCATTCACATTTATAATTTTGATAGAATATTTTTTGAACAAATCAACTCAAAGACTTTTGTATTATGTTTTCTAGAAACTACAACTCTACATCCCATTATCGACGAAATTGACTTTGCGATTGATAATAATGTTTCTTCGATACCAAGAAATAGGGTAATAAAGTTTTATGACTATAGTAAAGAACTCTTAGTAAGAGAGGATATTTTCTGTGATAAGTAGTTCAGAACATCAATAACTCTAATGTAACCTAATATATAATTAGATGATAAGAATTGCAGAATTCTTTTTCTTGTTTAGAGTGGATTTTCATTCTTCATTAATGATATGAACTTTGGCGTAGAACAGGAGAACTCGAATTTGACTCATCTAAATGATACTGCAGCTCTGAACTATTACCGTTATGCCATTGAGCAGTATATGAAGGAAAATAATAGTAATTTTGAGCAAATACAAACTCGTGTACGACATCATTTATTGAAAACGTATGGTTGGAAAATGGCTGACGTAGAACGTCTTCTTCAATGGAAATGGATACCACGAGACAAAAATGGTTTTCGATTAGCTGGCATGCCTCTGAATGTGCCAGTGCCTAGAGTAAGTAATCTTCATGTATCTAATTATTTTGTAAAATTTGAATATATAGAACGGAAAAGTATATTATGCTGTTGGAGGAATTTCATTTCATGAGAATGGATCCTTCTGGTTGAATTTGATGGAAGCAAAAGATAAACCTGCTTTGTTTAATTCTGATGATGTAGAATTAGTAATGAAAAGAGGCATTACAGGTATGAATATGAAATATATCTTTTGGTGATATTTTCTAATTCGAATAGATGTATCGTTCTCATTGGATCCTCCTCTTGCTTCTGACTTTCCACATCCATTTCAAAAAGCTACATGGACACCACATGATGTTCTTACTCACACAGATTTTCTCTCAACACTTCTTCATGCAGACTTATGGTTAAAGAGCATGAATTTTCAAATGGAAATGTCTGATCAGTTTCCCTTTCATGTTCGACCTATTCATGAGAATAGTTCATCGGCTCCATCAAGTGATTTGTATCAACGTTTATTCAGAAAAGAGGAATTCGAGCACGATCAGCTCTTTTCTGCCGCTAAAGTATGGATTCAATCAGGTCCAATCAAATACAATCGAATCGAACAAGACAATATTACAACGTATGTTCTTGGTCCGCCGAATATGCAGGTGAAATATTTTAGTTATATCAGGTATTATATTAATGCTGATGTGAAAGATCGCTATAAAGTCTTATAATTTACATTATAGACAAGTAAAGAACAATGTAACAGGTCTAATTGATACGCACATAGGTGGTTCGTCTCCATGGTATGATTATTTCACACAAATAATGACGGAAAATTATACTGAATTGGGTCATTACTATCCTGAACTATTGCGTCTAGGAGAGTTAAGCAAATTAATGGGAGTTGCTTTGATTTTTCAACATCATTATCGTGAGTTACGAAAGATTCTTTCACCACCATCTCTTGACGTAAGTGTAACTTAACAGTTGTAACTATTTTCGTACAAAACATGATTGAATTTTTCAGTCAGTTGCAAAAGTTTTAAATTCCAGCAACTTAAGAAGTCAAGTTTTTGGTGGAGTATGGCCATTAGTAACAGATGCACGTGTTGAGAATGCATTAGATCGATTAATCTTGGAACAAGGATTGCAAATTTCCAATAAGCACAACATTCGAAATCTTGCTACGGCTCGTATTTATATACGTGAACAATTGACGAAAATTCAAAACGACAAGATCAAAGAGATTGCTGAAGCAATTTCAACGGCATTCAATATTTCTGTACATGCAATCAGTAGTACAGCTATCGACGCCTTTCTTAGAAATACTAATGCGGACGCTGAAAATGCTCTTCTCAACGAGATCGTCTCAGGTTGTAGTTTATCTTGTTTTCGATAGAAAAATTCGATAAAGAAGTTTACGAATAATTTCAATCTGATCCTTTTATACTTGTGAATAACTATCAAAATCATTTCATCTTTGTTCTTTTGTAGGACGTTTCTTTTCGAGAAATTAGATAATATTCGAGTTTCATTGAAATGTGAAATATTACGATCGTGTCTTTCTTGTTTCCTTTTTTTGTTTTGTCACTGACGAGCTTTCGATGAATCAATAGAAAAACATCCCTATTTATTTAAGAAAAATTACGAAAAATTATGGAATAATTACCATTGTTCATGTAGGTGTGGTCGAACGTCTGAAAACGTCACCTCCAGCACAGTTGCATCTGTACAAAACAATGTCCCAGTCAGGATATGACGTTGGTAATACAACTAATGAGTTACCTGAATTTGCACAATTATCTGTCGGCAAAGGAATAATTACAAATCATAGTTCTACAAATCAATCATCATGTTATTATATTCCAACAATCGTTTCACGTATTATGCGAAACTTTGGAAAATATATTTTAATAAGGGGTGGCATCAGAATGCATCCATCATTAACCTATGATCATCATCTCCGCAACACTTTCTATCCATGGAGACTTTATGACGGTAATTAAAATCTTTACCCTATATGTTCATTAAATGATTGTATATGCAGTACATTCTTGACGTCATTAATGAGAATATTTTCAAATCTACTGACAGACTGATCATATGGGTAGTTCTTAGCCATGTTAACGAGCCTTAGATCTTATGAAACTACTAAGTAGTTAACATACAATTAGCAAATTGATTTTGAAAATATGTTTGACATGATCGATTTATTGTTTGTCAGAAAAAGATCGATTTTTGAAAATGACACACATTGTTTATTTTCCTTTAATCAAGTATTTCTTTTTTTTCTCACATAGGATTATCCAAATATGATCCTACTAGGTCCGTAGCTTTTCTAAAAGATGCTCTTCCTTTCTTCACTACAAATGAAAACATACTGTTTAAACGTGTTAAATATGGAAGTGGTGAACGAGTTCAATATGGTCCAAGTTATCTCGGCAAGACTACGCTAGCTGATTACACGGGTTGGGATAATCTAATTAAACAAGAAAAAGCAACTATTGATGATAAGAAGATAATAAGTGCAATGAGTAAAAATGAAGGAAAATTAGAGAGTATTCAATCCTACGATAGTGAAATAGTATCCGTTGGTGCAATGCAAAAAACAATCAATAGCAAAGGTACCGGTGAATTTCCAAAGCAATTATGGGAATTCAAAAATCAATATCCCAAACTATATGAAGATCTCTTCAAAGCACATGGTTGGACAGTTAAAGAAGATTCGGGAACCTATTCAATGTCTTATAATGAAAAAACCGGCAATGAATTGAAAGACTCAATTCGAAAAGATTTTCAGAAGAAGGTTAAATCAGCTTCTTCAAAACCATTAGAAGTACTGGTTAATGCAGTCAGTAGTAAAGAATTTCAAGAAAAGCAAGTAATTGATTCTGTTAATCGTTTGCATCAACAAGTTTTATCAATAAAACCAACTGGTTATGAGTCCTATACACTCAACGATTATTTACAGTCGAATTTGGGAAGAGGTTTAGCTCTTGATCAACATGTTAATAGACCTGGATATGTTAAAAAGGATTTTGGACAAGCGTTGAAACATTTGTTTAACAAATATAAGAATCTTTCAAAAAATCCTGCAGAATGGGGATCAAATCGTGAGAAATACGAAGCCGAACTTGTCGACTACTACGGACAAAATCGACGAATGACTGATGCTGTCAAAAGATATAACGAATTAAAAAAAGATTTATGAAAAGAAAAATTTACACGAACATAATATTCATAATAAACGTATCATTATTTATGACATTAATTTCAAGCAGTTCTAATAATGTGGGTGTGGGTGTGGGTGTGAGGGTGTGGGGTGTGGGTGTGGGTGGGGGTGTGTGGGTGTGGTGTGTGGGTGTGGGTGTGTGGGTGTGGGTGTGGGTGTGTGGGCGTGGGTGTCGACAGCTCTACAAGAATTACCCAGACCCAGACCCAGACCCAGACCCACACCCACACCCACACCCACCCACACCCACCCACACCCACACCCACACTCACACCCACCCACACCCACCCACACCCACCCACACCCACACCCACACTCACACACCCCACACCCACACCCACCCACACCCCACCCACACCCACACCCACACACCCCACACCCACACCCACCCAC